TTTCTGTGGCAGATACTGTCGTAACATCAGTTATTCCACTGGCAGTACGAGTTTCAACGGATAGCTGACACGTAGCAGCAGGTACGGTCACAAAGAACCGCCCCGTGGTGAACAATGTTGTGATGTGCATGTCCAGAACAGCATTGCCTTCACATGCTTCAAATAACTTTCATTAGGTATTCAAATAATTTCGACTGAAATAGGTGTTAGAATATAAAAGGCGGATGCTTCGAAGCACTTGAGGCAACACTGAGTCCTTTGATTCTCACCGCAGTTTTTAGTCAGAGAGGCATTTTGGGAGGGAAGCTAACTGTCCACAAGTGCTAATTGTTGCATCTTTTTATAAACGTTCTTTTTTTTACTGCTACATTTTTGACTGAACGATTCAAATTTAGGGTTTTTCTTGGTTTTGCCTCTGAGCTATCCATGTCAATGTAAAAACAGGCGATACTGTTTCGCTCTTCATAAAAATATTCCAGCCGGAATTGCCTTGAGAGAAAGAATTACTCGAGATGAGTTATGAATCTCCCTATCAATCATTTAGAGCAATCAAGTGTTTATTAAAAGGTCATTAGAAAGAAAAAATTCCCTCTGGAAATAACTGCGCCTGCAGTCATTTTAGTATTTACATTCATGACCTTACGTCTTATACCCACGGCCATACATCTCTAGGCCTTACATCCAAAAAGCTGCTTTTTCCTGAAAATATGCAATTACTTTGATCTGGAATTGGCGTTGGCATGAAGCAGCCGAAGTCAGTGCGCAGCTCAGATTCGTCGTCAGAGAGAGGAAGCGAGTTAACTGCCGCCACAATAGCAAATTTTCCTGTGCTATTGGCAAACATCACGAATCCTTGAGCGGTCCACTTGTATGCCCAAACGGTTTCACTACTATCCTGCAAAAAAATGTGCTTCTTACATAGTTTCCAAACAGAATAAATTTGTTAGGAAACCTCAATTACCGGACTTTTGAGTGTAAGCAGCTTAATCACTTTCCTAAAAATCAGGTTTTGCCCGAAAGTGGCAAAAACAAACCAATTCTAAATGCACAGTGCACTCCTCCGTGTTTTGCGTTGTCGAATTGAACACTCTGACATAAATTGTTACATTTTTGTCGATGGGCAGAAAATAAACTATGGCCGTCCCCTGATCGTCTGTAGCGGAGGCTGGCATCGACAAGCCGTAAGTGGTACCAGCCATGGAGGTAGGCAACACTGAAAGTAGAAGAGTGGAAATGGCGGACAGGAGTTTCGCATTATATTTCGGATTCTGAACACTGCATTTTGGAAATAGCTACTTTTGTTCACAAGAAATATTATGAAGATAAAGACAGAAATAGATATTTTTCAGATATTTCGG